GTTGAGTTATTTTTAAACGTTGATCATAAAATAATAAAATAAAATGAAAAATAAATGATAAAATTTTATATGTATTACTCTGTAATTTGCTAAATATAAAAATAATGTATTGAAAAATGACTTTTCGATACTATATTCTAACCCCTTCGGCACACGTGAGAGTTGCAAGTTAGATCTAATGATTTTTTTACTGTATCATAATTGATTAATTGGTTGTGTTTTTCTTGCTTCTACAAACATAGGCGACTCTTAATCTTATAAGTGATAATAGAGACGAGTTGTAAATTTAGACGTTTTAAGTTTGGATTATTGTTGCCTCTTGAGGCCAGGCTATGAGAGATTTATCTTTCAAGAAAGTCTTAGTTTCGACGTGGATGACTTGTCTTTGACCGGACCAGAGAGAGAATTAGTTGAGGTGCGCATAAGCTGTCTCAAACACCTTTGACTATTAAAAAAATAAATGCAACTCTTCCATACAATTAAGCACGTATAATAAAAATGTAACCACTTTGGATTTTGTGCCGACGGAATACTTAGGATCAAATTATGTTATATGGTTGTGGTTCTTCGTCTTCCATTTTCTCTCCTTAACTACTTAATCGAATATTGAGTTTTGTATCAGAATATGGTACTTAGTCAAGTATAAAATCGGACACAGCATCGGCTGTTATTCATTGGACGCTATTACGGAAGGGTGAAAGGCCAGCTTAAATGACCGGTGACAATATAGACGTTGACTATGGAAAGTGTGAAATATGTTATGGCCTTAAAGTCTCACATTGATAAAGTATGTGCATGACCATAGTAGTTGGCATCATCCACAGTTTTCTACTTTGTTACTCACACAAAGTTTGTATTCCATCTTGTTACCTATAGTGGAAAGAAAATGGTGGGGTGGCGAGACTTCCACGTATATTTGTCCATGACCAAATTTAGCTTGATGTGAAGTTGCAATATTCTGCAGGAAACTCCCTGCAGTATCGTCTTCCAGTCATAGACTTCAAAGGCATCCATTGAAGATGCAGCGCGACGTGGTGAAGTGACCGACGAAGTCATGGAAGCTTGCGAAAAATGAGGTTTCTTCCAAGTAATTCAACTGAGTGGGAAACACAAGGGATCCACCACATTAAAGAAAAAGGAATCTTGTTGAAGATTTTATTGGGTAGGAGGAATTTACCCACTAAATGGATGGGATTTCTCAAAAATAAAAATAAAATTACAGATTAAATTACTAAACTTGCCCCAAATCTCTCGCAACCAAGAAAGCGTTGTCCTAGGATTTGGTCAGTCCACGATGTTCGCATTACCACTCTCCTCCCACAAAAACACTACACTTCCATTGTGTGCATGCAACGGGTCTTCTCTTCCTTTAGATTTGAACAGTGGGTGTCCCTCGATTTTTCTGTGTTTTTGGTATGGACAGTGGTTTCAGGTGAAGAAAATGGGTTTGATTTTGGTTGCAGCTGAAGAGAATGGGAGAGTTAGAAGAAAATGTCACTCTGAATTTGATTGATCGTTTTGTGTTTTTGATGAATATGGACAGAAGTCCCTCTTGAATGAGCCGTCTTTGATTTGAACACAAGGCCAATTAGACTCAGTGATTTACATGAAATGTGCATCGGTCTTAGAACGATAGGTGTTGAATGATATACCAAAAAAAGGTAAGAACTTATGATTAATCTTAAAAAAATATATTTTTTTAGAGTCACATTATAATCTTTTAGGTTTAACTTATAAACTTTTGGGATCAACTTACAACAAATTAGTGTGTTTAGGATCGATATTGAAAT